AAAAAATGTGGCACCTATCCCAATATTGTTGTGATATATCCTATCATCTTTCACCTCATCACCTCTATTTTCGACATTAGCATACACTACGTGAAGCCTGGGGGACTTCACGAGGGGTCGAAAATTCTGTCTGCATTTATTCTCATAGAACTCTACTTTAGTAAAATATTTTGTAGTATTGCATTGATAGATATTCGCATTTAAAGATTCAAACCCTTCGGTATCAGAGAGCATTGATTTCATGCTTCTAAAATTGTGAAGAAATAGAATCTCAAACTATGTGATTACAATTAATCACAATACTAAACTATCAAATCAACGCTGCTGTTCTATATATCAGATTAATTACTTCTTTCAAAATTGAACAAAATGAGGTGTGTGTGTTTTAAAAAGTGATTCAATAAGATAATACATCTTATTTTCATAGAAATTACACATTGTTTAAGTAAGCAAAATTATGTATAGAGACATATATATAATAGTCTTCCATTTTATATCCTAAAAGTAAAAAAGCTAATACAAAAAAATCCTAAAAAACTCAGTATAAAGAAACACATATTAACAGTTTTTTTCCCTTTGACATGATCGCTGTTTGCCTCTAAAAATCAAATGACTATAATGATAAGCACATTTAATATTATAGGATGATATTATTTGTATCGTTGAGGATAAAAATAATATAATTTCATCATAAAAATTTCCAAAATAGTAAAACATGAGCTTGGTATACCACATATAACACTAGATACACATTTATTGATTAAACAAATGATTGAACTAGTAGGCCAAAAGGAGTTGAAACACAGTATGGCATACTTTTGCACTAAAAATATATATCTGTATTGATACTGGGTAGTTGAACATTAAAAAGATAAGAAGATTTATGCTGGTTAATTTTCTTCGTTCTCATATTTATTGCACTGTTGTAGGCTTAACTGAAATTTTAATGGTGATGGTATTGCAATAACAGATTTGAAATTAAGCGGTACTATAACTAATAAATGGGAGAAATGTAATTCACTATATAAAAGTTAAAAATTTATAATTCACAAGAGCCATAGAGTGAAAATTTAATAATAATAATGAAGATATTTCAAAAAAAGTAAAGTTGATCGTTTTAAGTTGAAAAAAGTAAAAAAAGATAAAATAAAATTAAAAAAATAATGTGTTGATATAATTTGATTTTTGAAAACAAAGGTCAAGCAAATATCCATAAACATATATTAGGCGCGTTTATGGTATGAACAAATGAGTAAAAATAAGATACAAAAAAAAATGACCCTATGAACTGCTCTCATGAAATTCCTAGAAATAAAAAACTCCGACATATAAAAGTACAGATTTTACTTTCTCTATGTTTGGAGTAT